TCGTCTGAAAGTATAGCTTTACTTAAATAAAAAACAAAGCCGATTTCCGGTATAATGAGAACTATCTATTTGTTTGTTATGGTTTTCCTCCTTATCAATCATACTAAAGAAAGGTATTTATCAAGTACGGCTGAACTGAGCGGGTCGGTTTCCTATTCGTGTTCTGATCTATGCGTGGGGCATAACGCTTAAAGCATTCTAGAAGGTTTTCAAAGGCAAGGCTGTGAGTAATGTTTGAAAGCATATTTTGAGAGCGTTCATCATGTACACTTTATTTTTCATGTACTCACAGCAACATTGCACGTGGCCAAAAAGTGCCTCACTTCATTTGTGCCTTGAGTGCCCTGAGAGCATCAATGGTTGCGTCAAATGCAGAGGTACCTTAAACTTGAAGCGTTGCTCTCCACGCATATTCAAGCGACATCTCACTTGCCTTGCAGATTGGTTGTGTTTAAGCGTCGATCGAACGGCAGGATAATAGCCGAGAATAAAAACCCGAAAAAAAAACTAGTTTAAACCTTTTTTCACCACTGTCACTATTTATCAAAGAAAATGGGACTCTGACGTCGGTAGTTAAATTACAACTTATCGTCTTGTGGTGAGAACTACATCGGTTTCTCCATGAGATACCGCCAGATGTTCTGTGAATCGTCTATCTGTGACAATGAAGACGAGGAGTGTAACGGGGTTACACGCAAGTGGCTAAACGTAGCCACTTGGTTACGAAAGAGGTTTTCCACGTTGGTGTGAGATGCACCACTAGTTATATTTTGCAGACTGTTGGTCTGCCTGCATTCAGGGCATTCATTAGCTGAAGGCAATATCTTCAACCAACTAGCATAGCAGAATTATGTCAATCATTCGCCCGTCTTATACTCCTACATATGCTGCATGGCTACAGTAACACATCATACGCTACGAATCTAAGACGAAAAGCTCCTACCTTACTATCATTTGTTCAGGACAAAGGCTCTTTCACAAACGCCAAGAAATACACGCGATCGAGATAGATGAGCCAAATCGCGTTTGAACATCTCTCCCGAAGTTGATTATTATCTACCCCCCCCCCAGTAGAGGCAGGTGCCCGGTCTCCAAAGTCCGTAACGGGCTAGGGTTAATAAAACTCATGCAAATACGCGCGTTCTACTGGCTAGAAATGCCTTAAATGGCTAGGACTGACATTATGTGGTGTACATATTTTATGTGGCTCACATATCGTTCTTAAATACACCGTCCGAACTTCATGTGGACCTCATTTCCAGGCGCGAAGCACCACGACACGCAAAAGGCGCTGCCTGTGTGCGCGTCAGTAGGCGACGCTGAGGTGTACACTCGTAGAATATGGTCTTAAAAACTGTTAATGAAAAATTGTAAACCCTGTTGACGCATAAACCGGCTGAAACAGAATTTTTAGTACGTTTTGCCAAAATCATTATGTTTTAAGGCTCGTAGTACTTTAATAAAAGATTTATCTACAAAACGTTTGCTTAATACTATTCTTTATATCTTTCAAAGTTATTTTTGCAATTTTTTTTGTAGCAGTAGTACACGTAGTTATTATCTTGGCATTTGATAAAAAATACAACAGTTTTATAAATAATATTATCTACTGTCTAATGAATAATTCTAAATCAAACGCTAAACGCATTTAAATGCTACAATTTCTAGCTTTAATTGAGTTTGGTATGTAAAGGTCAATATTTAGTTAGTTACAGCCTTGAACGGGCAGTGCAAGCGGGTAATTAGTGCAAGCTGGACAGGTCATTACTATCTTTTTCGCTGATGTGAGCTAAGTTTCATAGCGGCTCAGAAACGGCCTGTGATATCGAGCACGACGCTAGACTAAACATATTGTGCAACGTTTGTATAAATGTTATTTAAAGTGCAGATGATCTTGGGTGGAAGGTGTAGACACAGTGATAGCCAACAATAATCTGGAGATTACATCAAAACTTAAACTAATAATCAAGGTATGCATGATGCTGGCGGATCTAAATAATTACACGGTCATTTCGTGCCTGGTAACCAGATTTATAAAATTAAAAATGTCGATTTAGGCACTTAGGTTCGTTTTTTTTTTTTTGATTAGTTATCCGGAAAGGGCAGTAACTATATAAGGACTGCGTGCAGTATTTTCAGTTCTACTCTAGAATATACAGTCTGCTGTACTTCCAGTAAAAGAAGGTGGTCAAGTTAGTCCTAGTGGCACTGGGCCAGTGCTCAAGATTCTAAACTTAAGAACCTATCGTAAGAGTAAAAGTCCGAGCAGATCACTTTCAATCCGCCTCTTGTCGACCACGAGTTGGGGCTAGTGTGTTGCTTAGTGCCTAAAGGCTTAGCTCGTCGTGAGCTTCGATACATGTCGGTTTACCATAGATGCCAAATGCAGCGCATCGGCAGTGAGTCTTTCCATATGAGGTGTAGATTGTACATTCAACGACGCTTGTTCTTAAGAAATTTAAAATAAAAATCTGGCATTGGCGAAAGTCTTGGGGTGTACTCGCCGTGGGACTCCACACAAAAGAAGCATTTCAATCAGGTTGAGCCATTCGCCCGCCGCGTACGTGTACATGTATTGCGCGCGCCGCCTTCTACATGTAAACGCCCACACCTCGAAAATGGTCAAATAGGCCTTCAGTGACGGCATCGGGTCTGATCACTCGACCAAGAAATAAAGTTCAAGTTGAAGTGTTGAAGCGCCTCCACTAATATCTGATTGCCGAATTACACTCGCAGGATTTGGGGGTACAGCTGGCAGAATTTACATGTAGACTCACGTGGGTGAACTGGAGAAACTGAGTTTTAGAGATGGAATCCAAGCAGCGCTCGCCAGCTGGTTCAGAAATACGAGCCCTGCTCAGCAATTCCCTGCAAAGCTGAAGGGGATTTGTGTGAGATGAAGGTAAAAGCAATATTGTGGCCAATGCGAGTCAAAGCTTGCGGCAATCCAGGCAAGCGCCGACGCAGATATTGGAGCGCTAATCTGCATTAAGAGCCGATACAGTTCTCTCTTTGCATCGCGGCAAATGACATTCCTACCGCAAACACCATCTGCTGAGCACCTATCCGACGTTGCACACAAATCTACGCGTTCCGGACCAAAGCCTGAAACAACTTCGATAAAGAATGCAGGTCACCTCTGTCTCCCCTCTTGCTCATTCTGAGCGTTATGCACACTTCATCCCTGGCCTTTGCAAGTCTCGTGTCGTCCTACAACATCGCCGACGCGTCTGAGGTCGCTGTTCATTCTTCTCAGGAGCATAAAACGATTTTGCCTCATCGTCTGAGCCTTCGACGACCACAACACCATGAAGGACATTGAAGCTGGCACCCCTGGCTACGAGCTCCATGCGTCACCGAAACCAGGCTCCGTGGCCGGTGCTGGCAATGAAGAGCCGCTGCCGCACCCGTCGATTTGGTTACTACTCGCAGTGTCGATGCCGCGTATGGCTATTCAGATGGCCTGGTCGGCACAATGGGCTGCACTGGGCCCGTACCTGTCGACGATGTTGTCCAACTCTTCTGTCCAGCTCACCCAGTTTATTGGCCCTATTGTCGGAGTCATCATCGGCCCAAGCATTGGTGTCTTCAGTGACCGCACTACGTCTCGTCTTGGACGTCGCCGTCCGTACCTCATTGTCGCCGGTGTCCTCAGTGTGATCTGCTGGATTGCTATAGGCTACACGCGTGAAATTGGCGGGTAGGAGAGAATGCGTCCTACTAGGAGTCCTAAAGTGTCCTATTGTCCTAAAACCTGGGATAAAAACTAGCAATTCGGCTCATAAACAAACCGATATTTAGGACAACACAATGAGTTTTAGGACGAAACAAGCCAGGGTCCGCGTGTCCTAATAGGACACTCGACAACTGGACACTCAGCTGTCCTATTAGGACAGACTGCAACTCAGACCACTGTCCTATTAGGACAACACCAAGCCCAACATGTACTGTCCTCAAAACATCCTCAACTGGCCTAGCTAGAAACAATAATCATCTTAACGCCCCTCTCTTCAAGAGCAGTCGACTCTTTGTTGTGCGCGAAAAGCACCTCAACGAAACTTTTCTACTTCAAAGTGTGTAACAATATTTTTAAAGCGTTTCAAAGGATGACAGTCATTGAAGCCGCTAATAACGGTTGAGCGACTTCAACATACACATAGCAAACGACGGTTAATAATCAGAACGTAACGATATAGGGGGGGGGCTCAAAAAGCAGCAAAGTACTCGCAAGGGCTACTTGGCTGCAAGTCGATCCGAAGACGCGGTTAGCAAGCGATGGGGGTCTTGGTTAGCGCGGCAGTGTGCTCGGCCTGGTTCGTCGAGTTGTCTGGCGTCGTCGGGGTGTCGACAACAGGTGCGTTTGTGGCAGGCGAGTCCGGGCTTGGAGCCGACGTCGATGAGCAATTGGACGGCACGTAGACTACCAGGTCGGCCTTCAGGTTGGAACTGACACCGACCGGCAGTTGGCACTTCTCCAGGTTCATGGCCTTCACGTCAGCGAGCAGGGTGTTGCAGGCAGTCGAGGCGCACATCTTGTCAATGGTGGCCTGGTCCGAGATCTCAGTGGTTCGTGCCGCACTGTTGAACGTTCGCGCTCGTGAGCAGAGCGGACAAGACATTGCTTCCGCAGGTGGCAGCAGAGGCCAGATAGACGAGCGCCCTAGCTGCAGAAGGAGTAGCCGCGATGGTCCATGATGCTCGAGGAGATTCAGAAATTGTGCCCCAGGACAATAAGTAAAGCCAATGTGAGTTTTAAGTAACTCTTACGTAAATTTACGTAGATAGTCCGGAAAAAGTTATTATTTGAGGTTTAGGACAATCTGGAGGACACAAATTATAATATTCTGTAACGAAGGATTAGTCGCTTTTTAGGACACATCTCCAAAATCTCCCTGTAAAATTTAGGACAAATAGGACAGTTTAGGACGTGTCTTAGGACGCATTATCCTACACCAATTGGCGAGGCTCTTGGTGACCACGGTGACGGCGGTGATGGCAACATGGACCGCAAGTGGACGTCCGTGTTCACTATCATCTTCTACGCCTGGATGGATATCACTGTCAACATTGTCCAAACCCCGGCCATGCTCCTTGTTGCCAACTTTGCCGGTGATCGCCAGACTACCGGTGCTGCTCTCGGCCAGGCGTGGTCGACACTCGGATCCATTGTCATCGCCGTGTACATCGACATCTTTGGTGCTGCCTACAAAACGATGCACTGGTTCATGGGCACGCTGTCTGTCATCATGATCGTCTGTGTGATCGTTGCCTGCATCTTCGCGCACGAGACCCCACTCGACCCCAGCAAGGTGGACAAGTCGTCGGCTTGGGTCCAGGTAAAGAAAGGGTGCTCTCTACTCCGTGTACCTTGGTATCAAGACCCTTCCCGCTGTTCTGGTGGTGTACGGGATCGGCTTTTTCTTCGTGCAATACGGTTACACGGCATACAACGGCAACAAGGGGCAGTTCTTCGGTTTCGAAGTGTACGGTGGTTCGGCTGCCAACGCCGACAGCTGCGATCCCTGCTCGGATGCCCAAAATGCCCTACAACGATGGTGTTACAACATCGTCGGCTACGTCTACTCTTGGTGCATCCCGTTCCTGGCGAGCAAGTTCGGCCTCAAGTGGGTGCTCACCCTCTCGACCATCCCGCAGATGTTCCTGCTTATCATGGCTTGGGTTAGCAATAAAGGCTTCGATGTGTTCGTTGTTGCCATCACGGGCATGACCTCTTCAATCTGGTTCTCCTGCATCGTACCTGTTATCATCCATGTAATGGGCGACGATGTGGAGATTGGAATGTACGTCGGAGCTTTAAACTCGGCCAACTGCTATGGCCAGCTCCTTAACTACGCTATTGGTGCTGCTATCGTCAACACCTCGCTCGGCTACAAGCTTCCAGTATTCTTGGGTGGTGTCATGTCTGCTCTGGGTTTCTTCGTCTCCGCCATATTCTTGAAGATCAAGATGTACAGCTTGAAGACGGCAAGAAACGCATACTATTTGGTGTCGAGACTGACGCTTATGTCGGCTTTCATTTGTTTTGTAAGATGGTGATACATGTAATGTATTTCTTTTTCCTTACGATGGTTGACAATTTTGCGACGCGTAATTTTTTTTAGGTAAGATGATACATGTACCGGTATCTCCCGACGAGACGGACGGTCGAAACCCTAGGCCTGAAGGTATTGGACAAAGCAGTTGCGAAATACTTAAGGAATTTAATTTTGTATCTCTATTATAGTAAAATACCTCTAGCAACCAATTCTTTTCGCCAACTCACCAGTCTCTGATCGACAGCGAGCACTCGCAGGCGCCCCCCCCCCCCCGTAGAGATTGTTTGGAAGCGTCTAAATGGACGAGTACACGCGTGATGATAATGCGAATTCTCAAGAAATTCATAAAGTGGTGACAGACATTATCACAGACCACGCCGCTGCGCGCCCTTCCAACACCGTTAAGCAGTACGCTCCAAAACAAGCCGAGTTTAAAACGTGGTGTGCAGGTAAAAAGTATTTGGATGGCTGTATTGTCACTGAAGGGAAACTAGTTACGTTTTTGAAAACGCACGTTATTCCTCGTGGTAACAAGCGCCAGAAAACCAAAGCTGGTGATGCTAAAGCTCTCAGTTTAGCTGGCGTTGAAGCTTATGCCAAAGCTGTGATAGATCTGTACAAGTTGCAGCAGGCTTTACTTCTAAATAGCCATCCACATCCACGTGGGAAGACCTATCACGACCTATTCGACACGCTGAAGCGGTCGGAAACTGAGCGCAAGCGAAAAAACTACGCAGATCGAGCGCTGGGTACCGTTCTTGATGGATATAATGTCGAAGACATGGTTCAGCTCACTGACTATTGGTTGTCTCAAAACGACGGTGTTTCTTTGCGTGATCGTGTGGATTTCTTTTTGGGGCATGCACTTCTTGCACGGGGCGAGAGTCGCCGCTTTATTGAATTCCCTGATATGTTGACACTGGAGCTACCGGATGAAGGATCGCAAACATGCACGCCACTTGTGATCATCATGAATCGAGGCAAAACTAATCAGCATGGCCGCATCGAGTACGGGGCAGCCATGCGATGTAAGAACGTGAATGTGTGCCCATTGAATGCTGTAGCGCTCCATCTTTTTTGGCGCTGGCAAATTGATTGTGAACCATTTCCCGATTTTACATGCCGCGAAAGGTGGTACGATATCCACCTCATTAATGGTGGTGACAGAACGAAGGAGATTTCGTACAACACCCAGTTAAATCGTATCAAGCGAGCTTTCGCAGCGTGCGGGATCGATTCAACCGTTTGGACACATGCTAATCGAGGATCGGGGGCGAAATTGGCGAAAACATTTGGTGCTAGTGAGGAACAAATTCGGCGTCTTGGGAGGTGGAATGCAGCGCGGATGGAAGGATGCTATCTTACATCCCTTTATAAAAAGGCTATGCGAGCCTTGGCTGGATATCCGACAAAGGGTGGCGGCTACTGGCTGCAGCGAGGTTCTGCTACTCCAAGCGCTGAGTTACAACAATTGGTTTACCCTGAGGTTGAGGCCGCAGTTAAACAACTGGCTCAAAGCTCGACGCGTGAAATTGCTGGAGCTGCCTTCATTCAAATGCTCCGTCACATGCGAGTGGTCTTTCTCCAAGACTCTGTGGTGCTGCGGCGGCAGTATCTCAATCATCAATTGTGGAAGCACAGTTTATTTTCCACTGCATAGTACGCATCCTTTGATCAGGAACTCTATTCGTTGATACAAGCGATTACACAGCCTGAAACAAAATCGCTTGCAGGTGTAGTGCCTCAAATTGCGGACGTGCTGAAGAACGGAATGGAATCTCTACACGGCAAGCTGGATGCGCTAGCAGCGGGGATAGATACTAAAGGCTCTCTCAAACAAACGGCTTGTACTCAGCTGGGAAGACAGCACCTCAGGTCATGATCCGCTGCAGTCAGCAGTAACGCAGCCGCCCTTTACATCATGTGCAATTCCGCAGTCACTTCAACCTCCTAATCCAAAGCTGAGCAGATCAATCTCGACGGTTGTGGACTTGTGGAAAGAGTACTCTGTGGGGCTTGCAGGAAACATGTCAATTTCGGAGGCAAATGAGAAGCTCGGGTCTAAATGGCGGAAAGACCCGACAGAAGCTCGCTTCTATCTCCGGCGCAAAAAATACTATGATGCCATCACAAAGACAGCTGCTACGCATAACATTTCTCCAAACCAGGCCGCGGAAAAGCTTGAGTTGGCGCGGAAGGGTGACAATTTGTCCCTTAACGTATTCAGCAGGAAGCTAGATACCTACACAATTCAGTTGTAATGGTACGTGACTTAGACATCGACTGTTCATTCTGTTCTGAACACAAATAAAAAAGATTGACCGGTCAGTTTAATGTGAAAATGGTGCTGTTGATAATAAACTGACTGGTCAATTTATTTAGAGCGTGCGTAAAACAACAGATCAGACTGTTTTGAACTGATTGACCCGTCAGTCTAATCTAGCAACCGATATATTCAGAATAGACTGACGGGTCAGACTATTCTGAATAGTCTGAAAGGTCAGTCTATTCTGCTAATCAATATAGTCAGAATAGACTGACCAGTCAGACTATTTTGAACTTCGACAAGACTAAAACAGACTGACTGGTCTGACTATTCTAAATAAATTGATCGGTCAGTCTATTCTGAATAAACGTATATTAAAATAAACTGACCGGTCAATCTATTCTGCATATCCGTTCAGATTGGTGTGACCACTCATTGTTCTCACTCTCGTTTAGGCAAAATCAATTCCCAAGCAGTGATCCGCGATGGCGCGTACTGAGACTTCCGTTCGAGAGCGGATAGCAAAACTTAAAACCTGGCGAGATCACTCCGATTGGAGCGCAGGCAAAGCCGCTAAGGAGCTAAACGTGCTGAAGCCGACGCTTCTATCATGGAAGAAAACATATTGGCATAAACTCGATACTTATGAGCCTGGGGACGCCAAGCGCGAAAAGGGAGGCGGGCGTAAGCACAGGATGGAAACGTACGAATGGGCAGTTATTGAGTATTGTGATACCTGCGCTCGCGAAGATGGAAAGGTGAAGAGGGAAGATGTATTTGACTACTGTAGCAGAATAGTGCAGTTTGCGCTTAAAACAGAGGGGGCTACAAACAATGGAGCGCGATAGTGTGGGGAGGCAGATAATAACCGGAAGTACTGCAGTGAAAACTACCGTGGTGCAGGATGTGACTGCATCGAGCAACAAGACAAACTCTAAGACCAGTATTGACCACATTCAAGAAATTACAATAGCGGGACTTGACCAAGATGGGGATATCCTCATGGTTTATGGTGGTAATGCGCCTGTCTCATCTGAGAGCACCTCACGCAGCGCCGAGCAATTCGTCGGCAATTATGAACTTCGGCCGCGGACAGACCAAAATATACCCATGGTGCGGCTCTCTGGCTCTGGCCACGCAAACCAATCCCTTAACACGTCGGAGGCGCGCTTAGCGGGGGTGGTTGACCCTGCCCCTGTCGCAATTCCGCTATTTGCGGATGATTTGGAGAGCTTAAAGGAAGGCAACATGGTAACAAATACGGCTGCCGACTTTTGCATTGCAGCGTATTTTGAAAAAGATAGGCTTGTGTATTCGGGCACGTCAGCAATTTTTCGGAGATTAATTTCGCGTATATTGGTCGAATGGCTACAGAACGGAGTGCTGATGAAATAACCCGGCAAGCTAATTGGATTTCGCACACATACGTGATCCTTCCGGTTGTGATGAGCGACCACTGGAGCTTTGTGGTAGTTGAGCGCCCTCTTTCCAGCGAAAGCACCCTCATATACCACGTGAATTCATTGCGGGGTGGTCATGAACCAGACTATATTTTTGCTGTGATCGAATGGTTTCTAGTTAAGGCCATAGCATCTGATACCAGCGGCACTACTGTAACAACCACGTACAACTACGTCACGAAGCCTCGTCAGGCTAACGTTGTCGACTGTGCAGTGTACGCACTCCACTACATGCATGCCGTAATGAAGTTTATTATCAAGCATCGTCCAGAATCGCTTCTCGAGCACATGCCGTCGCTGACGACAAGCACATTCAACGTAAAGAAGGCTTCGGCTTCGCGAGCCAAAATCCTCTCGACACTAGCGAGCTTGCAAGCGCAATAATCATCACGAATGTATGTTGTAGTTTTTGTGCTTTAATACATGTTCTTGCGTTACAATCTTTCCAGCACGCAAATATTAGAATGGAATGCACGATACTGTCAAGAAGATATAGCCGGGTCGTGACCTCTCAGTCCGTATATAAGTGGGGTCGCGGGCGTCTGAAATATTACGATTTTTGTATCAGACGCGGTCAGACACCCCCCGTGAGATACATGTACCCCCTCGGTATGTACATGTATCATCTTACCTAAATAGAATATTACTTCGAAGTACATACATGTGTACACCAAGATCTTATCACCTTGACCACAGGACATACACAGGGTACGCATGACGTGATTTTTCTCCAAATTTAGTATTTTTTAATATTACATGTACTACGTAGTCCTTTTTTAGTGCTCGTCGGAGCCACAGAATACAGGCTCCACCTGGTCTACAGTATCACCCGAGAGTCTGTATCTTCTCAAAAACATTTACATGTAGTATAAAATCCAAGTACTGTAGAGCATCAGCATCACTATTCTATCGGGATGAGAACAAAACGGAAGCTTACTATTGTGCCCAGCACGCTTATTGCGTCTCGACCGCCTCCTTTTCCTCTTCTGCAACTGTTTCTGTTTCCACATTTCCATCTTTTTGATCCTTCACTGGCAGGACCGCTGCTGGAACTTCTTTCTGTGTATCACTGTTACCCGCATCACCTTCACTTTTGATGCTGGCTGTTGGCAGCAAACACAGCAGCGAGGTGAGCCAACTTGGCTCTCCTCGCTGCTCTGTGGACTCGTTGTGCTCAGCCGTTGCTGTTGGCGTAGCAAGAACGTCAGACAAACCCTCACCCGATACGCCTCCATCAGCACCGCCAGCGCTATTTTTTGCCGTAAGCAGCTCCCCTTCCGCCGCCTCCTCGGCATCTTCCATCTTCACATCCGCGTCATCTCTGTTATTCTCACCAGCAGTAGTCACCGCTGCTGGGACTTTTTTCTGTGTATCACTGTTACCCACATCACCTTCACTTCTGATGCTGACGGGTGGCAGCAAACGCAGCAGCGGAATGAGCCAACTTAGCTCTCCTCGCTGCTCTGTGGACTCGTTGTGCTCAGCCGTTGCTGTTGGCGTAGCAAGAACGTCTGGCAAACTCTCACCCGATACGCCTCCATCAGCACCGCCAGTGCTATTTTTTGCCGTAAGCAGCTCCCCTTCCGCCGCCTCCTCGGCATCTTCCATCTTCACATCCGCGTCATCTCTGTTATTCTCACCAGCAGTAGTCACCGCTGCTGGAACTTCTTTCTGTGTATCACTGTTACCCACATCACCTTCACTTCTGATGCTGACGGGTGGCAGCAAACGCAGCAGCGGGGTGAGCCAACTTGGCTCTCCTCGCTGCTCTGTGGACTCGTTGTGCTCAGCCGTTGCTGTTGGCGTAGCAAGAACGTCTGGCAAACTCTCACCCGATACGCCTCCATCAGCACCGCCAGTGCTATTTTTTGCCGTAAGCGGCTCCCCTTCCGCCGCCTCCTCGGCATCTTCCATCTTCACATCCGCGTCATCTCTGTTATTCTCACCAGCAGTAGTCACAGATTCGGCGTCTGTCTCCACACTTTCAGCCTTGACAGCAGCAGCATTGTTTTCCTCCTCTGTACTATTGACAGCAGAAGTGTCCACTTGTATAGCTGAGCTATTATTCGCAGTGTCGGCTTTTGTGTCATCATTATCGGCTTCTGTAGGAGTCTGGACTTCCTCCACTTTGACACCTTTGCTAAGATCTTCGGCATTTCTATCTGTGACCGCGGCAGTAGCCTTAGTCTCGACAACTCCGTTTGTTTCAACGCCAGCTGCAGCTTCTGCACCCACAGCAGAACTCTTGCCATGCTCAGTCGCGGCTCCTTTACCACCTTCCGATTTAATGCCCACATCGACGGGCTTTGCATCAGTGATGGTATCGCTTGATGTCACATTCGAAGCGTCATCTTGAGCCTTGAATTCGACATTTGCTGGATCGTTCTTTCTTTTTTGCACACTAACCGGTTCATCCTTGACATCTGATGATAACACAGCGAAAAGCTCCTTCTGCACGGTTTTGCACTTTAATAACATTGGCTCGTAGAGTTGCCGACACCCAGAGAATACAGTGCTCCTCCACAGGGCTTCAAATACTTCTAACGACGGGCAGTTCATACGTAGCACGCCCAATGTTTTCTTGAGATACGAAGTGACTATCGCATCACCCCCCGCTGCTGAACCTCTCTTTTCAATCATTGCGAATAGCGATGACAGCACGGCGACTGTTTTCTCGTGGAGCACTGGAGTTATAAAGTTTTTGACCTCATGTTCTCGTTTGCGCTTTTTTGACGCTGTTTCGCCCGATACAGCACTGTCTTGCTCTTCTTCAACCGCCTCGACCACACCATCGGCAAAATGAACAACAGACCCAGTCGACTCCTTGGCTGCCTGGATTCGCTTTCCGAGAACATCCACAAAAAAACCGTCGAAAATTTGCTTCCAAATTGGTAGAGCTTGCAATTGCTCGCTCAGTGTCATCGTCACCTCACCATTTTCAGCAGAGCTCGACCCACCATCGTTGCCATTACTGCTGCTTGTGCTCGCTGCAGCTATTTTCACCTGCTCCAGCACGACTTCAGCGACTGCATGGAGTAAAACACGATCACGTAGAAGCGATTCCTCTTCTGCCAATAGCAAATGATGCAGCAGCTGCGAACCTGCATCAATTTGGTGGTCCACCAAACATTGCACGGCGAACGACTTCACCATGGTGCGAATAGCTGAGCTTGCACGTAGCACGTTGTCCCACAACATGGTACTCAATGCGTCATCCTTCGCTTTTGTCTTTACTTCACGCTGCAATCCAGCTGAAAATGCGTAATACACACGGGAATCCACCATCGTGCGCAGCAGTAGCGGCAGTACGACACGCATAGTTACTACTTGCGGCGCACGCAGCACGAAGTCTTGCTTCCGAATCATACGGCGCACGCTAGATGAATTACCAATCTGAAGAAGTTGCACCAGTGCACGGCAGATCAGGTTGTCCGTGGGCAGCTCCTTTTTTTGCCAGCAAACCACAAGGTTCTTCATAAGGGCGTCACAGATAAGTTGCTTTACAAGTGGATCCGATAAAACGAGTGCCACATCCGCGAGCAGTTCATTGCACAAGCCTTCCGGAATCATCCCAGATTGGTCAACATCGCCAAAGTCCTTGATCGTCACAACACCGGTACTTGTGAGCATACTGATAGCCTCGCTGGTGGGACCACTTCCTGCTTTGCGACGTTTCTTAGTGCGAATTCGCTGAGGCTCCCCAAGCAGAGCAGCAGCACTTCGCTCTATCAACTCGTTTCCTCGCTTGCCAATACGCTTTCCTTCCTTGTAGAAAATAGTCGTGTCCGGGTTGAAAGTCATACAATTGCGGATCATAAGGTTAAAGTCGGCCACAAACGCATCCAGTGTTTTGTACTTGCCGCGTTTGGCTTTCCTCCGCATCATTGACAGGTCCATGGGATCCTTAATAATATCTCGATACTTCGGCACATCATCCGGTACGGGTTCAGCGAAAATCAAGCGGGCATCGATTTTCGCAATCTTGTCCAACACTGCAAGAAGCTCATCCACAGGCGGTGGCCCTAATACGACCTCAAAACTTTCCTCTTCCTCCTCAGCACCACTTTTCTTTCGAAACTTCTTGTTGGCCGGCAAGTCAGATGTACGTAATCGACCAATAAAGCCTAGCAGTTCGTGAAGTAGAGCGCTCTCTAGTGTCTGGTTCTTCAGTGCCCGATCCAAAAACCAAATGAATTTGTGTAATGGATCGGTTCGCAATAGGGGCGTTGTTTTGTCACGCTGAAGGTTGGCGAGGTCACTGCGCATAGCTCCGAGAAGTGCTACGTAGTCCACATATTCTTTCGGATGATTGTTCGTGGCGCTACCAGGAATATTCGCAGCCACCACGTAGCTACGCCAGATCTCCAATGTCGATAAGTATAGTGACTCTGAGTCTCCCAGCATCTCCACTAGCTTTATAAGCGCCGGGTTATCACGTCGCCGTTCGTCTGGAGCGTACAATGGTCGTCGCTCTCCGCTAAACCCTGACGCTGACGATGACGACCCAACAGCATCAGCTGAAGACGGAACATGGCTGGAGACGTTCCACAAACTACCACCTGCTGATTTTTCCAAGCTGCGCTTCCTGTTCTGGTTACTAGTTCGCATATTGGTGTTGCTATTCCTCCTCGATAATGAGCGATGGGTTGTCGTGGACCCTGGCGTTGGGTGGTTGAGATACCACTCCAGTTGCTCGGTCACATACTCGCGCGTGCATTCCTCTACGAGCAGCTGTAGCTCTCTCCTGTCCACAAGCAAGATCTTTCTCCTCACATGCACAGGCAATTCCGCAAGTATCCGTCGATTCTCCGTCAGCTCACGTAAATATAGCTCCGGTGTGTCTTCTTGTCTAGCCAAAACAGCAATCGGGATGGCTCGAAGCTCACGAAACTCAATATACGGGAAAGTCTGCTCCAGCACTCGTGGCAGCTCGCTCTGCGGTAAGTCTGCAATACGCAGCAGCATCTCCTTCTTCATCTGCTCAAGGAGCGAGTGGTACATGTTAGAACGAGGCACTTGCAGCAGATCCAGCAGCTGCACCACCGGCTCGAAGGTAGTGGGTTTCTCCTGCCTCTTTGTCTCCTTCTTGCGCACGAATAGCTGCGCATGCGCCTCCGCGACGCCGTGGGCCGCTTGGAAGTCCCGAATGGCGACCTCGATATTGGGCGCTGTGCTCAGCAGCTCTTTGACGGCAGCGCCGCCCCGCGCGCCAATCAACAGCTTCTTTTGCGCCTCCTCAGCCACAGAGGACACGGACATGGACCGCGGCAGCTTGAGCTTGAGCCGCAGCTTCATCGCGTCGCTCGCTGCCTCGCTCATTCTGCTCTGTGTCCTTGTATGGCGTCAGTAAAGGGGGAGCTGGGAGCCTTAAGCTTGGCGCTGGACGCTGGACTGGCTTGAACTTGTGGAGCAGAAGGCAAATTGAATACTAAAACGCCACTTGCAGGGCGCGCAACGACGCCCAATGCGGAATTGGCAGAGTGCATGTTTTAGCTTGAAGTTTGTAGCAAACGGGGAGCGGCCAATGAATCGGACTTAAAAGGAATTCCGCACTGAAATGTACACCCTTCGCCGCCATCCACAATCCAAAGCGCGATCTGGTTGACCAAGAAACGCGAGGGCAAGATGGTGTCGATCCGGAACGCTACGGTGCGTGGGCTGTGCTCCGTATTGGGAAATACAGACGGCAGTGTTGTGTAATTATCAAACGCGGGCCTATGGATCTTCTTACAGACGGCAGTGTTGTGTAATTATCAAACGCGGGCCTATGGATCTTCTTACAGACGGCAGTGTTGTGTAATTATCAAACGCGGGCCTATGGATCTTCTATTTACGTGCTGACTGATGTCTTCCCCTTAACTGTTATATTTACTGCAGGCGGACGACCTGCTGCAGGTGCAAAACTCCAACCTTTGGTGTCTGCCAGAGAACTACCAAATGAAGTACTACTTCTACCACATCATGACGTGGCCCCAGCTTCTCTATGTTGCCGAGGAACGCGGCGGCAAGATTGTTGGATATGTGCTGGCTAAGATGTAAGGAATCTGACGGCAAGTTGAATTATACTCTGTAGAAACTGACATTAGTATTGTTTATAGGGAGGAGGAGGCGTCCGTGCCCCACGGCCACATCACGTCTCTAGCGGTGTTGCGCACTCACCGCAAGTGCGGCCTCGCCACTAAGCTCATGCTGGCTGCCCGTACGTAGCTGCACTGCTACCATTGCCGTGATCTATAGGGCTTTCCTCACTGATTCACGCTTTTGCTGCTATGCAGAGCGTGCTATGGTGGAGAGCTTTGGAGCCGAGTACGTGTCGCTGCACGTCCGTGAGGGTAATGTGGCGGCCATCCACTTGTACCGCAAGACGCTTAAGTACCAGTACGTGCTGCTGTGCCGCGACTGCAATGGAATTATTGTGGATTATATATTTACTCTTGTTGCTGTAGGGTATACGATATTGAGAAGGGATACTACGCCGACGGAGAAGACGCCTACGACATGCGTATGCCCTTTACGGACAAGTGCAACCAGGCGTTTTCGTCGCAGGTAAATCGCTTCAAGAAGGTGCTAGCAGAGAAAGATGCGGAGAAGGCTGCCAAGGAGAACGAGGCTTCTGCGTAATTTCTTTACGTCGGTTTGCCACGAGGGCAAGTGCTCTTAGAAGGTGCTGGACAATTGTTAGACGGCTGAGGAGGAGGACATGGAAAGGTGATCGATGGCTAACGTAGATATTTAGCAGCTGACCGGCCCAGCCATTTTGTAACCTCTCTTGGCCCTAGATGCCGATCTGCGTGTTGCCAACAATTGAAAACTTTAACAGTAATTCTGCGTGTACATGTGGTTAGTACTGTAAGACATTGCTGTGGATTCACTTGAAGAGTGTAACAATTGTGTTTTGGTTCAACGAAAATAAGTTAAGTGCAAACGGTGGTATCAGCAAGACAAACTCAAGCACAGAGTGGTTTGTGTTTTGCTCCATGGGCAGCGAGTGTCAGCATCGATTTCGGTGCTTCTGATTCTCAACGAGATGGTGACCAGGTCAATGTCATAGCCGTACCAACTTTTCTTCTATGCTCAAAATAACTAAGTTATGCTTGTGTTGACATTCAGGGCTCCTGAGTGCATGAGCTCCGTGGTTACTTGACCCGTTGCTCGGCCGAATCAGTTACGACTGCTGGGTCCTCTTGTATCACAGAATTTGCGGATACCACCGCGTCCTCTGCAATTGTGGAGCTGGTCGAACTTCTATTGGCCATCTTCCCTTTTTCCGATGCAGCTTCAGTCGTCGCATCAGCTTCAGTGTCGCTTTCAAGCTCGCTATTGTCCGCAATAGTATTAGCGATCTGCTCTGGATTGAACTTTTCTTCTTGTTTAAGTGAATTCGCGATAGCAGTGTCCAATTTGGCTGGGGTTGGAGTATCAGACAGTACCTGGTGTAGATCATGGTCTTTGGCGGATAACGCGACTAAATCCTCAACTCCCATAGCCTGCTGACTTATTGCCGCCGTAACAGGCTGACCTGGCGACTCGGCGAATTCTTTCTGCTCGTCCAGACCATTTTCGGCTTCATTCATCAGGGCACCATCGCTCTCAATAGTGGAGAAATCGATTTCGTCGTTTCTCGCATTCTCGGCCTCTAGCAAGGTTATAGCAGGTTGGTTCACAGTTGTTTCTGCCGTCGAAGGTGCCTCCCACACCTCTGCTCTCACACAACGAGCCAGCTCACATGCCTCAGATAATTCCGGTGTCGTGTTTTCCGGCGTGGCGGCGGCTCTCGATGACGTTTCGGTTCGACTGGTGTCATACCTTGACGATTGCACTTCGGTATCAACCGTGAGATTCTTCAAGTTGACTGCAGCAGGCTCAACTGATCGGGTTGTGCTACGTTTCGCTGGGGATGAAGGCGCACCTCGAGTTGGACCCGAATTTAAGTCAACATTTCGGATCTCCAGCTTGTTTGATGTAGCTGCCGGCATCTCCAACGTCGGGGCCTTCGTGCTTCCGGTTTCTTGCATGGCTGTCGGCGCTACGATGGTTGTCATTGGTATCGCCACGTGGGTCTTGCGCCTTCGCGTTGAGTGGACATGCACCCAACAGATTGGGCAGAAGTGTACACTTTCCTCGCACTGCTGACACTCCAGAACAGCGCGCTGGTCGCCACACTCCTCGCATCTGCCGCGACGAATGGCACGCCCACGCACCATTACGAAGAACTCGGCACGCACTTCGCGTGCATGTTTTCGCCCCTGCATACCGCGCGCATAGCGTTGAATTGTCATCGCAGATTGCTGCTCGCGTGTAACCCGCGCTCGACGCTCCACCTTTCGTTGCTCAATCTCAAGGACCAACTGCGTGTTGGCTTCGACTTGAACTTCCATCTCATGAACTTGGCGCTCGACTCGAGTGACCAAACCCTTGATTCGCTGCTCGACATCCTGTTCGAGACTCCTCGTTCGTGCATCAAGCTTAGCTCGTTGCTGCAGTCTGTACAAATCATGGTTGGCCACCACTTCGGCTGTACAGACCGGGAGAACGTCACCTTCGTCGGTGACGTTGCTGCTGAACTCAGCACTGTATGGCTTCTCTATCAGCAATGCTCCGTTGATAGCCAAGTGTGACTGTGTACAATGAGCTCGCCACCATTCCGATGCTTCATCGTCAGCAATCGGCTGGTTGGCTGGCTCCTCCAAGCTCTTGTTACCGACCAGGAAGCGCTGAATCTCCGTTGAAGGCCACGCAGCGATCGAGGAGACTTGATCGTGGTTCTTCTGGTTGTCACTTTCAGTGCGAGGCCACTGCCAGATCTTGTTCTCGTCTTCCCACGGGCTCTTCGCCACCACTACCTGCCGAATGTCACGTTCATCACCGGCAAGTTGAGTCTGCCACCAATGGCGCTTGTCCAGCACTGCACACACAGCACGACGGTGATGACTCCAAGCACGACTGCGCCGTACCGAATCCCACTTTTCCATCATCTCTCTCTCGTCGTGGGCGAATTGGTTATCCAACTGCGAAGGTATCATTTGCTCGATTGACTCGGAAAGTAGGTGCTCTATTCGGTTCTCGCAACTTTTTGCCAGCTGAGCAGAAAACAATTCCCGTTCTTTCCGTGACGCTCGAGATCCGCACTCGTACTGCAGCACTCGCTGTGCGGTGGCGTATTTCATCGCTACCACTTGCTCGTACAGTTCGCGTCTTCGGTTCGCCAATTGAGGTGGGCCCTCTTTTGTGTCAGATTGTATTGATGCTCTTCTGGCCGAGCCGGCCTTAGTTTTTTCCTGGGCCGCCTTACGCTTGATCCTGTTCAAAACCCCACGGAAATGAAACTGGCGAGAGAAAAAATGTGTCGAATTATGCGTTGAGCTTACCGTTCCTGGACCACCTTCCGCCTTGACTCGAATGCCTTTTCATCAGATACTGTGGCCGGGAGCTGTCGACTCGAAGTGAGATCATTTTCGTTCAGGTACAGTGAAGGACGGAACTTTGAGTGCGGACTCTCGTTATTGCGTTTGCATTCGCCCGAGTGGTCTCCAGACGCTAATCCAAACGGGTCGAACGTGTAAATGCGATCGCTCGCAGTAAGAACCTCCTTCTGCTCTTCTCTCGAAGTGACTGTGGAGTTGTTCACTGATCGCCAACATCGTTGAATCAGCCTGGCCGAATGCTGCTGCTGGAAGGCACGCACGCGCTCGAGGTCCGCTGCATTGATATGCTGCAAGAAATAAAGCTCTTGTTCGTTGCGCCAGATACGAATCTGTCGGCGCCGTGTGGCGAGCTGGAAGCTCTCCTTAACAATACAATCCGAGGTTATAGACAGTATACCACCGACTTAGGCGAGATTTGATACCTGCTCTCTGGAAAATGCTCGCAGTTCAGCGAACTCGCGCCGTGTGAAGCGTCCTCTTTGTAGCGCCTGAACCTTTGTTACGGCTCTCTAAACCAGCCACACATTCCGTGAGTGATTCAAACAGCATAACACCGCTAAAAAATCAACAATATTCTCTTACGACACGTTTACGCTGCTGCTTCCGCCATCGAAAGCCTCGGAATCGCGCTTGAATACATGTTACTGCCTGATCCTCCGTCGACATCATACAAATTACAACTGAACGCTAGTGATCTGAAGCGGCGCGACTGCTGAACGATGACATGGCTACAGTTGATGAAAAGGTCATCATAATATTATTCGGACCGCACTTTGACTGGTAATTTTGCAGCCCAAGCTCGTGTTCGAGCTCAAGTTGCTCGCTCTGGCTGGAGATGGCTGTCAGATACTACCTACGAAATTATAGCCAGAAGCGCAGGCTTCACTCAAGCTCACCATCGTCCGCCCAGCGACACACATACATCAAAACTGACGCACCAGACTTCGACAACGTAGCTTCGAACAGCGACTTGTGCGAGTAGTAAATAAGGTCGAGGAGAGCAATACCTCAATCGAAACTTGACCGGCGCAGCGCACAGTCCACGGAATCGACAGACATCGGAGAGGACGCTTCGAGAATAGGTACAAACTCTTCGCTCATCTTGTGAGGCGTGGGGTTCTCGTCCTCATCTTCTTCTTCATCTTCGTCTTCAAACAGCACGTTCATGCTCTCACGGCCCAAGAGGTTCGCAAGCGCCGGAGTGAACTGGATCCGCGTTGACCCCCGCTCTCGTCCCAGCTCCTCGTCGTACCCGTCGTCGTCCTCCGAGTCCTCGTCACTGTCCTCGTCATCCGACATGGACTGAGACACCTCCTTAATGCGAGCCAGCTGCATCTTTCGTTGCTCCATCTGCCACTGCTGCCTCTGCTGCTCGCGTGCCTTCTCTGACTTCACCTCGTCATCTATCTCGTCCTCGCTATCACTGTCGCTAAAGCTGAACCGAGAGCTGCCTCGAGGGTCCAGTGTACTGGTTGCAGTGCTCGACAAGGCGATGGAAGAAGATCCGTTATTCAATGACGTTTTCCTTTTGTCCACAGTATCTCGTTCGTACTCGACATCATCGTCAAAGTCCATTCGAGAGCTTTCCCGAGGGTCCAGACTGGAGAGCACGCTTAGTTTCGTATGATTCCCCGTCCAGCGTTTAGTCGCCGTACTGTTGTCGTCATACTCGTCCAGGTCATCATCATCAAAGTCGTCGTCTTCCTGAGAAACCCCAGAATTTGACATTCTAGACGATCTGGTTGACCTGGATATCCTCGACGTCCGCGAGATCTCCGTCGTCTTCATCTTCGAGCGTTCTGCAATCACAACTAGCTCATTAGACTCATCTACATTCAATCGTCGCAGTATCGCACTTACCAAGTTCTGATCTCCTCATGGTGCCACGATGTGCGTACGACGCGTCCAAATCCTTCGTCCCTGGAGGCGACTCTGGCGTCGATGCAAAGCTGTCGAACGACTCCCGGGACTCTGCTTCTGGGTGGTCTTCTTTCGACGCCCGCTTGGGCACTGGAGAGGGAATCGGAGAGACGGACACTTCACTGGCAGGTTCCGATTCGTCGATCGACTCGTTCGACGTAGCACTAGCGCTGTTGTCCCGTAACGTCGTGGGGGTTGTGGGTACGCGCTTCTTCTGATCGTCGTCCTTATCGCTCGACGACTTGTTGCTGCCGCTGCTGCTACCCAAGACGGAAGACGTCACTGGACGTCCGTCGAAATGTCTTGCCGACCTGTGGTACTTGTGGTCCCGACGCAGCGTTTTGTTCCGTGCAGCGACCTGCTCCGGAGTTTCCTCTGCTGGGAGGCTCAGGTGAGTGTCACTGTTCTGCTGGTTCCTCTGTCTAGAGGGATCGACAAGTCTCAACTGCAATCGGATCCGTCCTGCGTCCTTCTTCCCCCGCTTCAGATCGACCCAGCGGTCTGTCGTCGAAGATCCTTGCATCGTCAAGTATTTGAGCGAAATCGAGCAAGCGCCAATAGCGGGGGACGACATGAGTCTCGCCGACTTGACGCGGATGCTCAGCACGTCTTCGTTCGCGTCTAACACGGGGATTTCGAACTTTTCGTTCCAGACAGGATCGGGTCGCTTGCCCTTCTGCACCTGCGTCTTAAGCACACGCATCTTGCGGTTCGAGCCGCTGAGATCTCCTTCTGACGATGATGTAGGGGGAAGCGGCGTGGTCGGGGGCTGCGCCGTGTTGCCGCGACTGCTGTGCAGAAGCCCACCGAGACTGTGCGTGGACGCAGACGGCTTCAGTTTCTGCGAGCGACGCGCAAAGGCGCCACTACCGCGCACCATCTCGGTACTACCGACATAGATCTTGCAGTAGGTACCATGGCTGGACACGTGCCGCAAGCATTCGGCCGAGTATACACGGAGCAGCAGGCGACTGGGCGGCGCGGGGCGGGCAAAGTATGACGAAGTGGACGCCGGCCGCTCGTATGCGGCGTCCATCTTCGAGGAATTGGAGGACCCCACAATGGGAGCGGACAGGGAGCAGTACTCGGCCAGGCGAGTGACGGCCGCGGACTGCAGCGAGCCGACGTTGTTGAGCTCTTCTCCCTCGTGGGGCAGGTCTGGCTTTGACGTTGTGTCATTTCTTGGCAACGGCCCGTCTGCGCACAGTAGTTCCGCTCTCTGGCGCTTTCGCCATATCCAAAGTCGATGCGAGATAGATTGTGATTGAGTATGCAATACTCAAAGAAAGAGAACAGAGTTCAGATACTGGCGTAGGTTGGCCACCTCCTTTTCGTATATTTGTTTGCAACATTTTTTAATCGCTGAGGGAAGCTCCATTGGATTTGCCTCTGTTAATAAATAATCCTTTAGGATTAGAAGTAAGCGTCCACCCGCGCTTATGGAGAAGATCTCTGTATTGCCTGTGCGAAACAGCCGGTGGTTTTGATACCAATTCCCTGTCTGGCTGCTTGGGCATTGCCAAAGACAATGGACAGGCAAAGCAACGTTAGCTTCATGTAGCATGACGTCCTCACCTCGCCAGGATGCCACTGTTTATTCATACAACGCTATCAGCGCTGCCAACCCTGGATCGCAATCTCGAGTGCCCGACAGCTCTTCGAAACGTTGATGACAAGGCAATCACGTATTGACCAAACGAAACCACTGGATATTCTCGGCGTCAACGAGTTCATCATTCGGGGCGGAGGCTATACCGGTGGTTATTACCAATTGCCAAGCTCGGATAAAGCGTGGCGGCAGTGCTCGAGCTCAGATAGAGCCGCGCGAGAAGTCACCTTGAGCTGGACTTGAATTGTGATGAAGCGTCTTGCCTCGAGACTGGACTTGAATTGAGATGAAGCATTTTGCCGCTCCTGCAGTGCAGATACCGCAACGTCCATCACTATGCAACCACAGGCAGAACTTCTGCCAGAAGAGAGGTGCTATGTTCGCGTCAGGTATTTCGGGGCAGAGGTCTTTAGTTGCTCACTGATCGCCGGTCTCATGGAAAGTGGTGCATCTTCACACCAAGAGAGTGCAACACAAGACTGTAGCAGCTGTAGCCATGATGTGGACACAAATGCCATCGTCTTTTCCACTCGTTTCAGCTGTTAAACGTATGGATTCAAGCTAGTCGCGCCTACCACATCACCACAACACAAACCTGTCCAAGTTGATTACTCGAAAAGGTTGACAGCACCTCGAGGTGTTGTTGTCAACTGGGCGATGGCAGCGGAAGACGACGTCGTGGTGGAGGCGCCCTACTGCGTCGTGTGTCGCCGCTCGAGCGCCGGCAAGTGGCGCAAGCACGTATTCTCCCGCAGCCACCAGCATGCAGCGCAGCAGTTCTTTCTGCACCAAGTGACCCGGCTCCAAGCCGTCCTCAACGCGACAAACGCGTCAGAATGGCGGCGCTGTGTCTTCTGCGACGTCGCGTTGGGTACAGCCGACGCACCGGCGCATTTCGGCGGTGATGCGCATAGGAAGCAGGTGGAAGCGTTCTGCCGCCACCACCGCTGCGATGCGGACCGCCAGATGAGGCCCCAGCTCTGTCTGAACGCAGCCCAGCGTCGAGAGGTATGCTGCGATCGTCGAGTGAGCATTGGGCTGAATCTCACGGCTCGTGTCTTGCGTGGAGCAGCTTGAGGTGGCGCATGCCGCGAGAGAAGCAGACGGTGAAGAGAAGGAAAAGCAGCAGGGAGAGGCGGAGACGGTGGACCAAGCCGCGAGCCAGCGAGTCGATGCCTTCTTGTCGTCAGCTGCCTCCAGACTGGAAGCGGTGGAAAGTAATAGACGGAGAGCTGTGGAGGAGACCCCCGCTGACGAAGTGCCTACTCGGAAACAACAGGAGGCACTTTTGGGGCCGCTGGGCACCGGAGCAAGTCGATGCAAGACGCTCACTTCGTCGGAAGGAGTGCTGCAGAACCCTCTCGGTCGCCATGAGGGCAAGCGCGTTTGGGGTGGCGGGATGGTTACGCTTCGAAAGAGAGAATGGATACCCTGGGCAATCGATCAACTCGTCAAGGAAGAGCAGGCCGATCATCCAGAGTTCCAACAGACTGGAGCTGACTACGCTCCATTCGCCCATCGAGTGACCGAACTGGCAAAGGGTGAAGGACTGAGCTCCATCTCGTCGGTGACGTGGGGCGCTAGTGTGGGTAATGTCCACACGGCAGCTGTACCGCCCTGGATGGTGCAAACCGAAGAAGAATACAAGCAGTGCAACCGAAGAGAGCAGGAGACCCCATCACCGGCACTACTGACACTAAAAAACGATAAAGTAGAAGTGAAAGAGAAGAAAAGGAGAGACATTTTCTCGAAACTACAAGCGAAATCCGAGTGTGGTCCAGACTGGCTGCCGAATTTTGGCGGCGTCTGGCAGGAAGGACCTCGCTCCAAGACCAAGCAAGCGTTCAGGAAAGCGACAGATGCAGCAAAAAAACCACATCCGAAAGCATATAATCCTTTGAAGAGTATGCCACCACCTCCGCCTTTGCCATTGCAACCTCCTGCACCCTCGGCCGCCGCCGCACCTTCAAAACCACACCACGAGGCTCCAAACTCGACCTCACAAATCCAAGACAATAGTAAGTTGACTGATCCGTTAGCTGCCAAGAAACAGTTGCTGTTGGCTCAGAAAGAACGTCTGCGTGCCAAGATGGCAGCAAGAAGACGACAGTAAGAACTGCTAAAAAATGGTACGATGGCACTTCATACCGTTGACCACATTTGCTTGCTTGCAGCCTCAAAATGCGCGTTCTTCTCCGTGCGGAGATTCATCGACGCCGTTAGCAGCTCACACAAATCTGCCATGCTCATTTGTGACGGCCCTCGCTTGACAAGACCTCCGTCGCACAGCACGGGGTTGTCCTGCACCTTGACGTTGCACGGAATAGACAACACGTAGCGAGCCAACCGCGCTAGAAACGGATACTTCATGCGCATGTTCTGCCACCATTCTAGCGGATTGGCACGCAGTGCGATCCGTCCTTCTTCCTGGAAGAACGACACCTCCACTTCTAGCAAGTTGCTGGATTTGGTGATCTCCAACGCAGACTTTGCCGAGCTCAACAGCATCTCTTCTTGGGCACAAGACGCCAGGTTGGCTTGGAGATCGTCCCACAAGTCTGTGCTCTTGCCCACATCATTCCCGTCTAAGTGATCGTTGTCTTCGTCCAGCGCGATTGCACCGTTCGTGTTCTCCTTGCCCTTCATCTTAGTGCCTGCAATGTTTGCTGCCTCTGTCTTGACAATATCCCAGAATTCCTGTTGTGGTAAAGACCCTTTGATGATGAATGATCGAGTGCGAGGATCCAATATCGTTGCGGACCATAATAAGTTGAAGGTTTGACGCTTCTCCAAGCTCCAACTAGCCTCCGGGAACGAGAACAGATGACCGAAACATGTCGACAAATTCACGAATGCAAGGTCTCTCAACGCCTCGATATCTTCCGGCAGTTCTCCCATCACTTCCCCGTCGTTTTTCTTGGCAAGACTATTGGTAGAGGACTCACCAGTAAATCCAATACTCAGCGGGTGCGAGCCGCGTAGCTTCTCAATCAGAGTGAAAATGGACGGCACGATTAACGAAGAAACGACGTACTGCTCACTGTCGAGCTTCGTCGTAGCTTCAGCGAAAGGCTTCAGTATCACAGTGAGATAGCGCACTCGGGACCACTCGTATCGAGATAGACAGGATAGCTGGATCAGCTTAGAGAAGTCGGAATCGCTGTCCTTGTGCACCGAGAAGTACTGCTTCAAAGCCGGCATCATGACTTCTACAAGCGATAGAACGGAGTGAATTTCACCCAGTGATATCGCCGTGTCTCGAAGACGGTCAATGAACAGCCGTTCATAGGAGTCTGCACTCATACTGCACTGCTGTAATGCTAGTCTTCGTAACACCGCTCGTGATCTCGGCGACTGCTTGAAGTGAGCGAGTAGATACATCACCTTGTTAATGAGATCACGGTAGGTGTGTCCAGTGAGACTCGTCGGCAGCTCTTCGAGAATACTGGACGCGATCTCAGTCGAGACGCCATAAAAGGAGTCTGTGGTTAATACAGCAGCGGAGCTCTCGATGTACTCGCCCTTGTCCAATCTTCGGGTACGAAATCCCGCAGATCCTGCGCTTCCTACGTCCGTCAACACTTCGCTGCCTAAACAATAGCTGCCAGAGATGGGAACGCCGTTGATAGTAGCGACCATGATGTTCTGCAGCACTGTCGGGACGCTTTCCAGAGACCGCAACTTGTGATCATCGCAGAAAGATTGATATTCGTTGGAGGGCGCCTCCACGGCGAGGATTTCGGGCATGTAGCGACACGGAACGACGCGGTCCATAGCCTTGGTCAGCTCTTTATCACCGGCGAGCTTAGCGACGATGGAATTCCCCTGTCCAGAGAGATTATTTCCAATCGACAAGACGTGCAAACATCTCCGAAAAGGGTTAAACTCCTGGTCCAGTCCAACTGCAAAGAGCGCGAGAAAAGTGACGTCGTTGTCTCTACGGGGCGCGACGTAGCCCATAGATGACGTCGCCACGGTATCATTCCCACCGAGATAGTCAGAAGAACGCCATTCCGACAGCATAAAGTGCGAGAAGTCGGTCATTTTCATCTGCATAGCTGTTCGCACTTTGACCTCTGCAGCCATTTTCTTGGCATACCCAAACGAGATCTCTTTGGCGAATAACTCAAAGCTGTTGGAGTCGTCCACGTAGCCCCCCGGTCCCCCTGAACACTCCACCATGAGATTGCGGAACGCATGACTCGAACACAACTCGAACGGCAGCATTTCATACAGACACAAGTATCCCATCGCCTCTCGCACCTTCTCCGAGTTAAATTTCCCAGGCGACGCTGCATTAGTAGCAGCTGGAACAGTCTGTCGACTTGGAACTGGATGTAAGGCACCCAAGGCATAATGCGGGTACGCTTGAGTGTCGTAGTCTCCTCTTCTCGGCTTCTTGGCTGATGGACGCATAGTCGACTGTACGTTGTTATCCCCAGGACTCTGTGACTTGTTTGTACCTCCTACGTCGTGCGCGATATCAGCTGTAGGAGGAGGAGTGGGCGCTACGACCTTCTTCTTCCTTCCGCGCTTCTTGACGCCCATGACTCGATGCATCTGCACGCTCTTCTTCTCGCCTCTGTGTTTCTCGTACATGTCAGGGTGGTTCTCCTTCAAATGGCGCCATAGATTGGACGTCACGCTCTTGCTGAACCTCACGCATGTCTTGCGTTCTGGCTTTCCCTGCTGTCGACACAGTTTGCACTTGGCAATGGACGATTCTTCGCGCTTCTTGGCGCTGAAAGCCTCCTCCACCTCGTACCAACGATACACGGCTGATACGTTGCTGGAGCCGCTAGCTTTGGCTTTGCCACATGCTGCGGTGGCTGATCGCGTGGCGGAGCTGTTACTCTGAGGGCTGCTATTGGTCGCGACGAGTTCGCGCGGAGGGTGGTCAGCACTAAGAAGCGCCAGCTCCTCGTCCGCGCCGTCTTTTGAGGCTCCAATCGCTGCTTGTAGCGTCATGTCCGCATTCTGCTCGGCGCTCGAAGCCGCGGAAGTTGAAGTGCCTGCGACCATGGTGAATTGCGCGTGGTTAAAGCGATTCACTCGTTAATTTAACACTGAATTGAACGTTAGAAGAGTGGTGTGGTGCACAACAGCTGAGGACCCTTCACGACTGCGTACACCGTTTTTTTTTTTACGAAGAAAGTCCAATACAGTGGGATGTGTATCCCCTTCCCCGACCAGATGGACTGAGCCATTCCATGACCATCACTCTGACTGGCGACCCCCTCCCTCCGTCCATTTCAAATTCAGTCCACACAGCAAGCACGTAGCTTGGGTTTAGCCTCCGGAATGCCGCGCAGACACGCCCGCGCGCCAAAACGGAGCGATGAAGCATCCGGAAGTGAGGCTTCCAGTAGTAAAGATAGTGACAGTGCTGCCGAAACTTCTAGATCATCGCTACGCCAGCGAGCCCCGACGCGCAAGAAGAAACGACTGAGCACGCATATTTCGCGTCGTAGAACCCGAAGTGGGGGTAAGCTGCCTAAACGCCGAAAACGTGACCATAAGAAGAGGCGCTCTCGCTCACACAGCCGTGGAATGTCTTCGGACGTCTCTGGATCTGACGCTATCAGCACCAATGACAGCTCTGAATCCTCCGGTGCGTCTGAATCGGACACTACCAGCGGAAACAACGCTACCGTTTCGAATCGTGGCTCTGGGGATGGTGGTATCGTCGCTCGGGATGATTTGGTTCACGTTTCGAAGATTGACGTGAAGATGTTCGATGACTGGAAGACACTGGAGGCGTACTTACGGAACTACGGTCGCCGAACATACCAGGTGTGTGTGCCAATCTCAAGTTGTGGCACAGTCTGAGACTGTATCACATTATTACAATGCTTATCATTGTATTCTTGTCGATTGATGCTGATTCTGTATTTATGCTGTGTGATAGATATTTTCTGTTCGAACAAACACACCCGTTCGCACAAGAAACCAAAGAATCAGCAAGAGCAAAACCCCAGGCACCATTCTGCCAGAAGAAGTGCAGTTCTACAACAAGACCTACGTGTGTACACATTCTGGAAAGCCACGGTCTAACAGAGGTCAAGGTTCGCGCCCTAACCAACATTCAAGAAAAATCGGGTGTCCTGCCAATGTACGTGAAGTCTTCGAAGTGAAAAATAACTGTAACTGATTTGTTTCGCGGTTAGATTAACGCATGTGTACGAGAAACTGGGAATTGGGAGGTTTGCATCACCGGACAGAAAACCGGGCACAACCACGACATCAGCCAAGAGATCTATCAGACCTACCACGAAGCACGCAATGTCTCTGAGGGTGAGGTGTTATCTACTATTCGAACGCTTCACAGAGCTGGAGCCAGTCGAAAGCGTATTCTCGAATACATAACAGAGAACAGTACCGTGGAACCTTCGATGAAGGATGTGCACAACCTGGTAGCTCGACTTCAGCAAGAAAGCTACGCGTTTCCAACGATTGAGGAGCGTATTCAATCCATCCTAGAGGATTTTTCCTCGCAGAGTGGGAATGTTGCAAGGATCTACCTAAACGAAGAGGTACGTGCTACGTCTTCTAACTCTGTTTTACGTCCGCTAACCTCGAAGGTTTTGTAATGAGGCAAGAGCGTCGCACAGTGTATATCCATCCAGTCTGTGCACATGCGATCCATGTTCGGACACTTTCCAGAAGTGTTGCTGATTGACGCGACCCACGATACCAACTCCTCCAACTACAAACTGTTTAGTTTCATGATTCATGATGCCATGGGCAAGGGCCAGCATGTACAGGTGGGTTGTGCAATTACGCAGAGACTGGTCCACCGTCTAAGATTGTGTGCGATGCTGGGACTGTGGCTTACGATAACATTGATACTTACTCTAGTATTATTTTTATAAAACGCTTTTTTATTTCGTAGCACTGCCTAGTCGAAAACGAGAGAAAAGAGACTCTTCGGCTTGCCTGTAGTCAGTTCAAGGAGTGCAATCCATGCTATGATGCGGTGGCAGTCATCATTATCGACAAGGACTTTACGGAGCTGCCACTGTTAGAGGAGGAGTTTCCTGGGGTCAGGATCTTAATCTGCCATTTCCATGCAGTCAAGGCTCTGCAGGAAGAGGTCTCAAAAGATGCGTACAACCTCGACGCGTGGACCAAGAAAGAGATGAAGAGACTAATCCAACTGGTGGTCAGCGCGCCGACCGAGACAGCGTACGACAAAATCATTTCCACAATGAAAGTGGTATTGCGGGTGGATGAGAAGGTCAAGCTCTGGTTCAAATACTTCGATGCCAATTGGACGTCCTGTAAAGAGAAATGGAGCTCAGTATTTCGTGGCAACACTCCTCATATGGGAAACCAAACGAATAATAGGTCAGATTTTGATTTACCAGTGAGCTGTTGCTGATACTAACTGTTATCAATATAAATAGACTGTCTTCTAGCTGGCAGAAGTTGAAGACCCTCGTTAATAGGTCTACTGCCTTGGATGACTGTGTAGTTTCCATTCTGTTTTGGCAGACAATAAATGAGAAGATGTGGGCCCGAAATGTCAAGCGCATCGGTGTGTATATGAACGTGGAATACGATGCAGAGATGAACTTACTGCTCAACACCGTGTCTCGACACGCAGTGGAGCTTGTGAAGCAGCAATACGACTTCGCACTCCTCCCGACAACTGAATACCGACACTATCCCATGGGGCCGTATGTGATGATGCAATATTCTGCTGGAAAAGAAGACGACGTGCTAGACGAATACATGATGAATCCCAGCGGCTGGACATGCTCGTGTATTTTTCGTGTTACAAGACTATTGCCGTGCCGCCATATCATCTATTACAGAAATGTTACAAACTGTAACAGTTTGGTTCCAGAGAGCATTATCCACCCACGCTGGCTCGTGAAGAGCTATCGGCGACTGAGACAGGGACAATATCTGGAGGACGATGAATTAACGAGCCCGTACGAAGTGCGCACGGTTCAGAGGCCGTGTATAGGACGGATCAAGACCGAACGTGAGAAGTTCAACGAGCTTTTTGGTCTTGGAAGACAGATTGCAGACGTGGGTTCTCGGTGGGGCACTAGGGCACATGAGACGCTGTCTAAGGCGATGATGCAATTCTTGGATAATGTTAAAGCTGGTCAGTTCCCCACTGTTAGCGTTCTTGAAGATTCAGAAATAAACCTGAGTCTACAACGAGATGACGGCGAAGAGCAGCGTGAAACAGAAGTGCTGGATTCTCGTATTACGGACACAGCTACAGCTCAGTCTGAAACGGCTCCACAACCTGACTCTGATTCACAGCTTCAGACTGTGTTAGATGCTATCACTGATGATCAGGATATGGAGGAGGTCCGGTTGTCTCCTAAAGGAAGGGCGCTTTTATCGCTTATTGAAGAGATGGAGGATGAATCTACATACAGTGATCAAGGTACTACTCGCTACGAGTGCGAATCTGAAATCATGTCTCGGGATATGGACCAGTCTGAAACGGTGCGCCAATCGGAAACTGGGTACCAATCGGAAACTGTGGACAAATCCAAAACGCTGTGTGAAGCTGTGAACCCTACCGGAGCTGCGGAGCAGTCAGAAAACGATGATGTGTTCAAGAAGCGAACTGTGTCATTTCCAGATAATGACCCATCTAAACCAGAGAGCGTAAAACTAAGCTGGAAGGTGTCTAAAACAGCAAAGAAGTCGGGACGTCCAAAGATAAAAAGAGCAGAGCGAAAGAAGGAGACACTTGAAGAGCTTCGTCAGACGAATCGTCTAGTGGACGTCGTGGCTAATGGAGATACACCTTCGTTGTCAATCCTGGAAGAGGCTGTTACAAATGGGGCCACATATAAATTCGCACCTGCGATGCGAGCACTTTCAATTATTCAAACGAAGCGAGCAAAAATTACGGTGATTCACCGGAAAAAAAAAGCAGCCAACCCCCACAAAAAATGTGATGACTGTGCTACCAAGGCAAAGAATTGATGCGTGTGAAGTTCAAGTAGCCCTATTCCAGAATCGTTGGTTCAGCGACCATGAACATCGAATATCGCAACAGGATGTAACCGTGGTGACAGGAAGAACCGCGTATGATGTGAAAACGCTCAAAGCAATGCGGTCGTGGCATACAGCAGTCTCGCACTTTGATATCATTGATGAAGCCATAAAGTGGGTGGAAGATTTTGATAACTGTCAATGGCAACCACGTGAAGCTGTGTGGGCTGAAGGAATACTAGAAAAGGACGATATTTGTAAGGGACTGAAGAACGTGGACGTGCTTGGCGATTTTTTCTGGGCTACATCGCTGTGTGGGAAAACAATGATCGAAGGGCCTTGCCTCGATACCGCGGTGAAAGCAATTGTGAAGCGCAACAGCGACAAAATTATTGTTTTTAGTATTCCTTCCGACGTGCTTCGCTTCCCCAATTTCGACGTCGAATCCATAAAACATCAAGCAGTCTGGAAAGACCTTAAAATTGCCAGATCCAGTATGGATCTCGACAAGGATAGACTCCTTTTTTTCGCGGCGATAAACTATGGGCTTAATCACTGGTGCGCTGTGACTGTGGATTTTAATTCCAGCGAGGTGAAGGTTTACGATCCCCAGCAAGCTGGAGATAGGTTCAAGCAACTTCGAGCGTACTTGAAGAGTAAATTGCTTCTCAACTGGAGTCTCCAAAGCGATTTCGATTCACGCGATGCCAGTGGCTCACGCAACTGGATAACTACAACTGCGGTGTCTTCGTTCTAATGTTTTTTGAGCTGTGTATTCTCGGATATGACTTCGCGCCAAGTGATCTCGAGGGAAAAATTAGTCCTGCGATGCAGTTCTATCGCTACCGATATCTTAGCCAGATAATAAGTGCTATGTAAGCATGCTTTCTTTTACAAATTGAGTCGCATTCATAATAAAATACGTCAGCAAACTGGCACGGGGCGAGCACCTTTTCGACTTGGGGACAAACATCATCAAGACTTAGATGAAAATGACTCTTAGTTCATAAATCTCACTTGACACCGACATTCACTCCTGTAAGGTGTTTCTATTC